TATAGAAACAAAGTGTTTAGTTAGAGAACATGACATTTCTGCAGTGACTAAAGAAAGCTATGTTTCCCTTCCGCACTCAGTGGTCCGTGTCCCAGACAGTGCTTGGTGTCTTTGGTCTGCTAAGGAGTGCTTCTATCTCACATCTGTGAAGAGGCTCTATTTATGACCATATACGAGCTTTGAACAAGGAAAGAAAGAAATGAAAAACAAACAAGGTCCAAATAAAATGTTTTTCTTCTCAGGAACTGTGTGGACTCAGAATATTTTGAGTTTAATAATTTATGAAGGCCACCGTAATGGAACGGAAGACATAGAGAACATGGAAAGAATCCCATGGCTGGAATACAATAATAACAGTACTGATTATGCAGCTTTTTGTTCACCTCGTGTCTTTGCCACTCATCTACCTTACTACTTAACTCCAAGAGACCTGAGAAACAAAAGAGCACGTGTAAGTATGACCATGGGGSTTCCTCTTACCTGTCAGTCTCCAGCATCTGCCTGCCTGCTGCCTCTGGCATCTCCTTCCCATCCTGCTTGGTGTCCGTGCTGGAGCAGGGGTTWGGACTAGATGATCTCCAGAGGTCACTTCCAACCTCAACCATTCTGTACTTCTGTGAGCTCGCTGAGGCCCCTGGTGAGGTTAGTGCTGCCCAGAAGCTGGAATTGCCAGGAAGAYCTTTTTCATTTCATCAAAAGATTCAAAACCTAAACCAATGCAAAACGGAAGATGAAGCAAGTTCCAACGATTTTCTACCACTGTTCTTCCACACCTCACTGCCTTGCCCACATGAACAGTAGCACTGACACGTGTAACCCTGATCCTTACACGATAGGTAGCCATGAGTATTGAAGGGAAATGTCACCTGCTATAAACAAAACGATGGTGTAACATTATCTGGAATTGACTTATCATGTTTATCATCTTCAAGTTGTTCTCTCATATATTATGTAAGGATAGTTACAGAATACCACATGGAGATTCAGCGTAAGGGATCTCCCATTTTCAGACTAACGTTGTTGTCTCTTTTGCAGGTTATTTATGTTACCAGGAACCCCAAGGATGTTGTGGTTTCGTATTATCACTTTTCCAAAATCRTRTMCACGCTAGAGGAAGTATCAGATTTCAACCTTTTCTTAGAGAGATTTTTAGCTGGCAAAGGTAAGATWYGTATCCTGCTAAGAAGCCCAAATCYCAYTGCCTACTTTGAGGCTGAGTGGAGATCCATTAGAGCAATCAATGTCACCTACCCGGAGTCCTCAGCCATGAGGAACCTGAATGCAAAGCTGTGGAGGTGGTTTGAGCTTGAGACCATTTTCTRTTGGYAAATCATGCCCAAAGGAGATATAATAGGTAGAGATTTGCTGCTCTYCAGCAAAGTGCAAGGGACTTATTCTTTCCCAATTAGACATGGACACGGAAAATATGCACTGTGAGAAAACCAGGAAGCTAATCAGTTTGACCTCATCTGCACGCAGGACTGTCACCCAAACACTGTAATCATGTGTCAAAATACAAGAAAGAAATCCTTCATAAAAATACCACCTTAAAAGWATCTTTCCAAAGACGCAGAAGGATATAGTGGATTTTTAATAACCACTGAATGCACATGAAATAGTTTGCTATTCACTACCAAACCCCTTCCACATTGTGCCCCTTTGAGCACAACTACCTGCCAAACCTCAAAAAAAAGACCAAGGAAATCACTGAATCTTACACTTCTGTTCTCAGAAGTACTGGAGGTAGCAAAACAACTTATAAATCTACAGTATTTATCCTGCTAATTGCATTTCTCTCTCTTTTTTTTTTTTTTATATGATTATTATTATCTGCCTGGGTAAGTCGTGGGTGGTTCATGGGTGGATCACGTTACAGGCTGGTACAGCCACGCTCAGGATTTCAACATACTCTTCCTTACCTACGAAGAAATGAAAAAGGTGAGATGGGTTATATATCACTGCATTAAAAATATTCTCCTCCTGGTTCTGGAGTAGTCTCAGATGATCCTCTGTGATAAGAGTTCATRTTGGAAAGCCCCAGATCCCTTGTGGAATAGATGCAAGTTGATGATGCTTGTAAGGGGATACTCACGTGTCTCATTGGTGCCCAGGTCTTAGCACTTCCTATGGAAGGATTCTATAAAGCCCTTTGCAGCATGGCAGAAGTCTGCCCCTCTACCATGGCAAAAATAACTTCTGAAACAACACAGAAGA